CATCCCTTGGAAACGGTATATTTAGGTCCTCAACATCATAATAAAGCGTGCGTGCAACTCTCTCAGTAAAAAAATTAATCATGGACCATAAAACTTCATGTTTCCAACTCTTGTCCGGGAAAACGTGAACCTGAGAACGGTTGAGGAGGACACAAGTGGAGGATGAGAATTTGTTGTCCACAGAATTGCTGAGGTGTTTAGCCACAAAACTTGGACTATTGATGAGAGTGCACCAAGACTTGCGTATGCATTTGAATCGCATCAGAGACTTGGGCGGCAACTTGGACATGATTGCGACCACCCTATCTTCAGAAGTTTCAGTTTCACGCACCTGGGACATTTTGACAGTTTTTTTTTTTTCCTACAGGAATTCTTCACATTTATGTATACACAAGAAAGAACATCACCAGTTTGAGAGACAAACTAAATCAAACTCCAAGTCCCTAAGGCCTGATAGATTGAGGTTCGATTGCTAAACTTAATAATTACCACACAAGATGCCAAAATCCAACAATACTAAATAAATTTGGAGTTCTATTACTGCAACATATATAGCTATCAAAGAAAATAGGGGTGATCCATATTTGGCTTTTTCTGTTCGAATAAAAACAAGGGCGAGCCAGTCAGTTTCGAGTGTTATGGAGGATCATACGTTCAAATTTAACTATTTTAACATTTGTATTGATCCAGACCCCACTTTCTATTAAAAAAAATTAATTAAATATTAAAAAAACTAAAAAAAAATCATTTAATATTTTTTAAATATTAAAATAATAAATAAATGTTAAAAAACAAAACCTTTCGTCCCTTCCACCCCCCTCCCCCTTGTCTCTCTCCCCATCTTCATCTTCTTCCCTACTTAATTTTCAACCAAAAAATAATAATAATAATTTGAAAACCCATCACCACCCCCCCCCCGGCGTGAAGAAGAAGAAGAAGAAGGAAGGAAGGAAGGAGGAGAAGAAGAAGAAAAAAATAAAAAAAAAACCCCAACCCAGTTCGTTCCCCCCCCCCCCCCCCCCCCCCCCAAAAAAAAACAAATCCAACCCCCTGCAACCCAAAAAGAAGAAGAAGAGGGAGGAGGAAGAAGAAGAAGAAGAAGAAGAAGAAAAAAAAAAAAAACCCAGATCCCGTTCGCTAGGCCGATTCCGTGGGGGGTGGGTGCGAGGTTGGATGGGTGCAAGGTCGGGTGTGGAGGGTGGATGCGAGGGGAAGACGAATTGGGATTTTTAAGGGCTTGGGTGGGGGGGGAAAGGGGGTTGGGGGGTGAAGATGGGGGAGAAGAGAGAAGGACGCCCGGGGGGGGGGGGGGGGGGGCAAGGGATGAAGTTTTGTTTTTTTTTTTTTTTTCTGGGTTGCAGCAGGTAAAGGGGGAGGGGGGAAAGGGATGAAAGGTTTTGTTTCGTTTTTTTTTTTATTTTTATGTTTTGATTTTTTACTTTTCTTTATTATTTTAATATTAAAAAAATATTAAATGATTTTTTTTTAGTTTTTTTTTTTTAATAGAAAGTGGGGCTGGATCAAGCCACGTCAGCATTTAACTGACAAATTAACGGTCAGGCTAACGGAAGGTATAACATTGGACCAAATTCTAAAGATAAGGTATGACATTGTCAATTTTAAAAGATGAGGTATGAAAGTGTCATGACACCAATAATTGAGGTAGTTTTATGTAATTTACCCAAAAAATTAATGAAGGGAACCTAGTTTCTCCTTTTAGATATTGGTAGTAGACAAATTTTCAATATTTTTCTTTCTCAAAAATCATTTTGAGACTAAATATCCAAAAGCATTATTAAATTATAAAAATGAAAAATTATGTTTATGTTGTGACTTAAATTTAACGAGAGAAAGAGAAGCTACAGCATAGAAAAGAGATGAAGAAAAGGCTTGAAGAATTATGTATGTTATTTCTCATGCCTTTTGCCTTTATTTCTAATAATAAGGAGGACAAAATAACTTTCTATCCAAGTAATACAAGTATAATAGGAAAGATTTTCTAGATGTTGAAGGATTCCTAATTGATCTCTACTTAAGATTTACAAAATCACATATGTGCTAATAATGTTCTCAACTCCTTTTGAGTGTGTAGTACTCAAGCAGTAGACACATCAGATCTTCAAAAAAAATATGTAATTAGTATTGTCTCATAGGCCCAATGAGTGAATGCGAATCTCAAAATAAATGAAAGAATGCATAGGTAATAAAATTCACAAAACCTTGTTATGGTAAAACGTAAGTAGAATGCTCACAAGAGTATGACCAAGGCAAGATGGGTGCGCCTTGTTATAACCTAGCCAAGTAACAATAACCTAGTGAAGAAAATGCTCATAATTATAGGGAAAAAGAGTACATTATGGTCAAATGAGTACACTTTTGGATACTCCGTTGAGTTTGAGAAAACTTCCAAATGAAAACTACAAGCATTGCAAATGAGATAGTTACGTATACTAATTCCTCGGACAAGCTTTTGGAAGGTGAACATCGGCAGCGACTTCGTGAAGAGGCTGGCAAAGCTGTCTTTGGATCGAATTTGCTTGATTTCAATCTTCTGGTGCTCATGTTGATGTAGAAGCAATATGCTTGGCATTTGCTTCTTGGATGCATCATGTTATGATCTGGTTGATACATGTGGCATTGTCTTCAAAGATCATTTTTGGGACTCAATGATGTATGAAAAATAGGTACTTCAAATATGCTCAACAAGAACTCTTAACCATGTTTCTCTCGTGTGGCGTAGGAGGTCTGATTTAGCAACTAAGGACTATTCGGTTGACCTCCAAGATATTGCAGTGTCCCTAACAGTAAAGACATAACCCATTTGGAAATGTGCCTTGTGTGGATTAGATAGATCGTCTGTGTCAGCGTATCACACAAGGTAGGCATCTTTCTAAGAAATAATAGGTGTGATTCATTCTATGACGTATTTCATAGAATAAGTCCAAATTCGTAGTAATGGAACAACGTCTTTAACACCAATTTGATAGTAGCGTGTAGGCAGTGTTGCTTTATGCCAAAATATTATTAGTAATTGGATGTCTGATCTAGTGCTTTTAGTTAAGTACAATAAACTCCAGTCGCACTAAGATATGGGACTTTAGGCTTTGTTACCTTCTCAAATGTCTCAGTTGCATCCAGTGTATAGATATACGGGGTATACTCAGAGACAACACCTTCTTTATGAAGTTCGACTCATGGACCAAGAATACCGCACAACTATGGTCAAACTCGTCGAAAAAGATTCCACCGACAACTCAAACTCGAGTTCTCCCTTCCCCGCCACCAAAACACACATGCAAGGACATATTTGAGTTCCCCAGGTTACACTGATTCTAAATTTGGTGGTTTTGAGGTGAGATTCAAGACGGATTGTTGTGGTCTGGGGTGGTGGTGCACGGTGGTGATAAAGAGAGGATGCGAGAGACCGAGAGATAGAAGGGGAGAATGTTTCAGAAAATGTGAAGGAAGAAAGCAGGAGTGGGTTAAGTCCCACTAAAATTCCTCCCACACGAAATTACTATTGTGCCCTTCCCTAATTTAATTTCATAACTTAACTCTCGTAATCTGAATTCAATTCCGTTTTCACCCATACATTCGAAAAATAATTTAAATAAATAGAAAAAAAATATGAGAATTAGAAATCTAACTCAAAGGTCCATAATTATTCAAGACACTCAATAGAGGTATTTTGGTCATTATACATACATACATACATACATACATATATATATATATATATGTTGACCGGAAAATTAACCAGCTACCTGCGATTATGTATATATATATATATATATATATATATATATGTATGTATGTATGTATGTATGTATGTATGTATGTATGTATGTATGTATATGCATATATAAACAAAACAGGTCCACATGCTGCATATAATATAGGTACAAAAACAAATTTGCAGTATACATTTTGACTGGAAAGAATACACATGACCAACACGAATTATGTGAATTGGAGTATGTGTAGCCGTTAGCTTTACATATGGGTCAACTTGGTATGATACTAAAAATAAAGTTGAGGTTTCACCATGAAACCAATTGGTAATATAGGAAAGTAGCCAAACCTCTTGTAAAGTTTTTCCTTTCACCAAGATGTAATTCTTTTACCTTCACATGCTCACACATATAACCTAACCCCTCTAAACCTGAAAGCAAGCTTTGAAACACCAAAACACAAAGTGGGAAATAAAATAAAATCACACAGCATGAGATAAAGATTGACTTATAACCCAAGATGCACACTGTTTTGAAAATCAAAAGCCAGGTAAGCCAGGACAATTTGGATGCAGTGAAGCTAAAACTGCCGAAGCTAGCAAAATGAAATTAATTACCCGTATCATTACTTCATTCCACTTTTCAAATGGGGATTAAAGTTAAGTTGTTAACAAAAGTCTCATTTGGTGTCTATGATTGGATTATAATTGATAATTAATTATGCTTTTTTTTTTTTTTTGGGTAAACGATAGATTTTGTTAGATTAGTCATCGACGAGATTCGAATATACGCCATCATGTAAAGACTCAATACCTTTTTACCGCTGTAATAAATAGCCACTTGCAACTAATTATGTTCTTAAAATAACGGAAGTTATAGTTTAGCGAAAATATTAAAGATCGCCTAATAATAGTTATGTAACACCAGAAGTTTGAGAAGAACCTCTCGTATCGAAAAGAAAGCAAAACATGATATTCTGAAAATTGCAAAAATAACCTTAAAACTTGAAAGCTATTAGGTTTTTAAGAAGGGAATTTTGAAGAACAAAGGAAAGCATAAGGGAACTGTTAGTGTTCATTAACTGTAGAAAAATAGTAAAATACTTTCAAATAGAATAAAATTACAAAATTTGGAAAACCCAAAAACTGAAGGCAGCCCATGATCAGCAAATATATTCCAAACGCCGCAAACCAAAACTAAAAAATGCAAACTCAAGCATTATATCATGCACACAAATTACATAGGAGAAAATGAAACTTTGCCCTCAACTCACTTCATTGAAACAATACTTTCCACATAAATAAGAACTTCAAAATCTGTAACCTTATTGATAATAGGAGGAATATGAATATACTTGAGATTTCTGGTACTAGAATTATAAGAGATGACTCTTTTATCGAAAGTAACCATAAGAAGCTCGTCACTTTTCCAAAATGTCAATAAATTCTTATTGTCTTTAAAGGGTCCAAGGATTAGCAGTTTTGTCCATGAACTCTTGACTCCATCACAGTCGTCCATTACCCATATTTCAAGTATTTCCAATATTCCAGAATTGTTACTTTTATCATAATGAGAGCAAAAAGAAGCGATGGATTCATTATACAAAAAAAGATTATAAAACAAAACACTGGATTCTTTCCTATAAGGCAATTGTATTCTACGAAATATCTCATCACCTAAATCAAATGAAAGTATGTATTCCTCGTCATCGCTTGCAAACCAATAACAAAATCCCTTCAAGTATATTGAACAAGAACAGTTATAGGTATCACTTGATATTTCAACCTCGATCACTCTCCAAGAGTTAGTAGTCGTGACATATACCTCAGCCGTGTGAGGAAGAGCAATACGATGAGAAAATGTTCGCATATCATCTGAATACTCACAATTTTCTATAATTTTGACAACCTTGTATTCTTTAGCTTTGCTATCATAGCCAAATCCCATTCCTTGAAAGGTCGATTCCAATTCGAATTTTCCCTCCGGAGCGGAAGGTAGAAGAAGGCATGAATCAGGTAGTTGCTTCAGTTCCCTCGTTGCAGGATTGTATAAAACAGCATTTTTCCCTACTATTAGATAGACAATCCCATTGCAATAGCCATGAATCGATACATGATCATGATCTTCCAATGGAAATTGTATATTTAGGTCCTCAACATCATAATAAAGGTTGTGCTCATCACTATCATGGGAAAGATTAATCATGGACCAGAAATATTCTCTTTTCCAACTTCTGTCCGGGAAAACGGGCATCTGAGAACGGTGGAGAAGGATACAAGTGGAGGATGAGAATTTGTTGTCAACGGAATTGCTGAGGTGTTTGGCCATAAAACTTGGATTGTTGATGACCGTGCACAAAGACTTGCTTATACATTTGAACCGCATCAGAGACTTTGGCGGCAACCTAGAAAGGATTTCGGCCACCCTATCTTCAGGAGTTTCACTTTCACGTACCTGGGTCATTTCAATCACCCTATCTTTAAGAGTTTCACTTTTACGCATCTGGGGCATTTCAGCAATTTTGTTCCACATGAAATCTTCTCATGTATATGTACACAGGAAACACCACCAGTATGAGAGACTATTTAAACCAAAACTCCAAGTCCCTAGGGCTTGGTAGATCGAGGTTCAATTATAAACATATTACCACATATGATGCCAAAATTCAACAACCACAACCAGAACATATTTAGCTATCAAAGAAAACAAGGGCGATCCAGAGTTGGCGAGTTTTCCAAAGAAAAAAAAGGGGTGATCCAGTCAATTTAGAATTTTATGGAGGATCGTACTTTCAAGTTTTTCTTTTTATTATTTTTTAATTGATACAATATAACAGTTCAAATTTTACCTTTTAAGTTCTACATTAAATTGAAAATAAGGTGAGCGTTGACATGCCTGACCCTAGGCCTGGCAAACGGGTCGTGTTTGTCGTGTTCGTGTAACACATGTTATCTTAACGGGTCGTATCGTGCCACACCCGTTATCTTAACGGGTCCTTAACAGGTCAAGTCGTTTTAGACCTGACCCGTTATGATCCGTTAAGAAAAAAAAATTACTTAAATTTGCACATACCACACATTGCCACATAAATATTAGTTCAAAACATTAAAACACAGTTGTCGTTTAAGTACTATATCTACACTCGAAAATAAGAGTTTAATAAACAAACATCCATACACTACTAGTCTATTACTAAATATTAAATGTGCAAGGATATGCAAAATGAAAGAGTTTTTGTTTTCAAGGTTGTGAAGCCTTTCTCAAAAGTTTAAACCTTGCCAATGGAACTCAAAGCTTGCATGTTATTCCTTGTACAAAATCCTCAATTTTCATCGATCATCATAACATAAGATTTTGTGGTATCCACTAGTGTAAATATTTTAAATTGAAGATCGAATTCATTCATATTATTCATATAGGGTCAAGGAGTGTAGCTGTAAAAAATCATCAAAATCGAAGTTAAAATAACTGTTAAATCGTGATTTTTCGTTGATAACGGTCGAAAAGTTTTGTCCTGTTACTTGATCTCTGAATGTTTGTTTTTTGTAATTTTTGGCGTATGCGATCTCGAAGTATATACAAACATGTTTTGGATCTTTGAAACTAATTTCATAGAATGTGTATCCCATCAAAACAATAGATTCACTAACACTTAAGAGTTTATTCATATTTTCATTAAGTATAACATAAGATTTTGTGGTATCCACTACTATAAATATTTTAAATTGAAGATCGAGTTCATTCATTGTATTCATATAGGGTCAAAGAGTGTAGTTGTAAAAAAATCATCAAAATCAGACTTTAAATAATCGTTAAATCGTGATTTTTCATTGATAACCGTCGAAAAGTTTTATACCGTTACTTAATCTCTAAATGTTTGTTTTTTGCGATTTTTAGCATATGTAATCTCGAAGCATATACAAACAAGTTTGATGCTTGGATTGTTGAAAGTAATTTCGTAGAATGTGTATCCTATCAAAACGATAGATTCACTAACATTTAAGAGTTTTATTCATACTTTCATTAAGTATAACATAAGATTTTGTGGTATTCACTAGTGTAAATATTTTAAATTGAAGATCGAGTTTATTCATTGTATTCATATAAGGTCAAGGAGTATAGCTGTAAAAAATCATCAAACTCGAAGTTAAAATAACCGTTAAATCGTGAATTTTCGTTTATAATCATCGAAAAGTTTTGTCTTGTTACTTGATCTCTGAATGTCTATTTTTTGCAATTTTTGGCGTATGCGATCTCGAAGTATATACAAACATGTTTGACAGTTGGATCGTTGAAACTAGTTTCGTATAATGCGTATCCCATCAAAACAATAAATTCACTAACACTTAAGAGAGTATTCATACTTTAATTAAGTATAACATAAGATTTTATGGTATCCACTACTGTAAATATTTTAAATTGAATATCGAGTTCATTGATTGTATTCGTATAGGGTCAAGTAATGTAGCTGTAAAAAATCATCAAAATCGGAGTTAAATCGTGATTTTTTGTTGATAACCGTCGAAAAGTTTTGTCCCATTACTTGATCTCTGAATGTTTATTTTTTTGCGATTTTGGCACATGCAATCTTGAAGCATATACAAACAAGTTTGACGATTGAATCATTGAAATTAGTTTCGTAGAATGCGTATCCCATCAAAACGATAGATTCATTGACACTTAAAGAGTATTCATACTTTCATTAAGTATAACATAAGATTTTATGGTATCCACTAGTGTAAATATTTTAAATTGAAAATCAACATTCATTGTATTCGTATAGGGTCAAGGAGTGTAGCTATAAAAAATCATCCAAATCCAAGTTCAAATAACCGCTAAATCATGATTTTTCGTTGATAACTGTCGAAAAGTTTTGTCCTGTTACTTGATCTCTGAATGTTTGTTTTTTGCGATTTTTGGCATATGCAATCTTGAAGTATATACAAACAAGTTTGATGGTTGGATCGTTGAAATTAGTTTCGTAGAATGTGTATTGCATCAAAATGATAGATTCACTAATACTTAGAGTTTATTTATACTTTCATTAAGTATAACATATGATTTTGATGTATCCACTAGTATAAATAGTTTAAATTGAAGATCGAATTCGTTCATTGTATTCATATAGGGTCAAGGATTGTAAATGTAAAAAATCATCAAAATCGGAGTTACAATAACCGTTAAATTGTGATTTTTCGTTTATAACTGTAAAAAAGTTTTGTCCCGTTACTTGATCTCTGAATGTTTGTTTTTTGTAATTTTTGGCGTATGCGATCTCAAAGTATATACAAACATATTTGACGGTTGGATCGTTGAAATTAGTTTCGTAGAATGCATATCCCATCAAAACGATAGATTCACTAACACTTAGAGTTTATTTATACTTTCATTAAATATAACATAAGATTTTGCGGTATCCACTAATATAAATATTTTAAATTAAAGATCGAATTCATTCATTGTATTCATATAGGGTCAAAGAGTGTAGCTGTAAAAAATCATCAAAATCGGAGTTAAAATAACTGTTAAATCATGATTTTTCGTTGATAACCGTCGAAAAGTTTTGTCCCATTACTTGATCTTTGAATGTTTATTTCTTGCAATTTTTGGTGTATGCGATCTCGAAGTATATACAAATATGTTTGACGGTTGGATCGTTGAAATTAGTTTCGTAAAATGTGTATCCCATTAAAATAATAGATACACTAACACTTAAGGTTTTATTCATACTTTTATTATGTATAACTATCCACTAGTGTTAATATTTTAAATTGAAGATCGAGTTTGTTCATCGTATTCATATAGGGTCAAAGAGTGTAGCTATAAAAAATCATCAAAATCAGAGTTAAAATAACCGTTAAATCGTGATTTTTCATTGATAACCGTCGAAAAGTTTTGTCCCGTTACTTGATCTTTGAATGTTTGTTTTTTGCAATTTTTTGCTGATGCAATCTTGAAGCATATACAAACAAGTTTGACGGTTGGATCATTGAAATTAGTTTCGTAGAATTCGTATCCCATCAAGTTTAATGGTGTGTGTATATGTGTGTGTGTGTGTGTGTGTGTGTATTTATTAAGTAGATTTAAATTTATTTATTTTGTACGTATAACACTTAAGAAATTGAATGGTATGTATAATTAAGCCAATCCAATGGTCACCAATTTTTAATATTTAATTTAATATATATATATATTTATTTATTTTTTTAATATATATATATATATATTATTTATTAAGTAGATTTAAATTTATTATAGTTTTTAGGGGTATAAAATTGTAAATTAATATATATAATTATTATAGTATTTTTTTTAGGGTTATAAAATCATAAAATTAATATTTTGCTTATCGTGTATCGTGTTACCCACGTGTATGCCTGAACCAACTCGTTATCCTAGCAGGTGCTTATCAGGTTACCCGATAATGACTAGATTCGTTATCGTGTCGACCCGAACACATGTTAATTTCGTATCGTGTCGTGTCTGGTTATTGGGTCGTGTCAGGAATTGTCAGGCCTGACCCTGATATTCCTTGAACACCAAGGTAAGAACGTGTTGGCCGACACTCGAAGATGACGAAGCCATATCAAAATGCATGAGAACAAGAAATAAATAAGACTTATAAATTGAAATATAATTAATATGCAAATGAGGAACGTGTTCAGAGTATACAACTAACTAGAAAACTAAAAAGAAATAATATAAAATTGAATGAATTAAAGGAATGGATCCTACACTGAGAGGACTCGAAGATGCTGGTGCGAAAGTGCATTGACGTTGGGATTGTACGCATCAATTCTAAGTCTTGAGGGGGCACAAAACAAATATGAGTGGACCAAGTTGATATATATATAGACACACACACACTATTGAAACAGTTGTCAACATACTAACCCCAAAGTTTAATGAAAACTCATAACATAATATGTAATAGGTTTTCCAAAAACCCTAGCATGCCATAAAACCTGTATAAAACATATCTCGTATATATGTGCTAACTAATGGTATCAGTATCTCTCGGCTCGAAGCCAGTAACATACACCTCCTGCTAACCATATATCTCCCTCAGCCTTATTTCTCCCTCGCCAATAGGTAGAACAGTGACCACTAGATACACACAAAACCATTAAACATAGTCTTTCCAAACATAGGTACATATATCTCAAAAACATCTTCATAGTATTAAAGTCATTCATCATCTATACTATAAAGAAGTGTGTAAAAGCTTGTTCATAAGCAGTATAAAGTCATCCGTCTTCTATACTACAAAGAACATGAGTTCAATAAAATATGGTAATTCAAAATATTCTAAGTAAGCATAATATCTCATAAAACGTAGTCATTAAATCATGTTTCTCATGTATGCATTTCTACTATTAAAACATGCATTTTAGAAGGAGTTCACTGACAGATACTTCACCGCTAAAGAGCCATGCAAACTAGTGAAGACAGAAACGCCACAATAAATGCATATAAGCACATAAAGGGTCCAATCAATAAAACTCTATTTA